AGCAGCTCACAGAAAGGAGCTATGAGGTAGGCTGTTGCTCCTGACAGAGCCTGTCGGTCGCCCAGGCACCTAGCAGCACTCGCCTGCCTGACATGTGCGCCCATGGACCCACACCCTGCTCATGCAGGCACACAGACACATGCACACGGCCGCACATGCGTGCAGGCACTGCACAAACACGCTGCCCAACACACACGCACCCACACCACAGCAGTGGGGGCTGCACGCCAGCAGGAGCCGCCATGAAAGCTGTACCGTCCGTCCCGTTTCTTCTGCAAACGCTGCGCGTCGTCCCACCCCAGCGCAGAGACTTGCCTGCCTGTTTCGCTCTCCTCTTTCCACGCTCACTCCCTTTCCCCCACCTCATCTCTCTTTCTCCTTTATGAAATATGCATGGAGAACAGATGTCGCCTTCTCCCGGAGCACCCCCACCCTCCTCCCTCCTTCCCTCCCTCCCTCCCAGCCCACCACCTCCATCCACCCTCCAGGACCACATCCAACCTCCACCTCCCTCCTCTCCCGGGGGCTCCAACCTCCCACGCAGCCAATGGCATCCCCTCTCTTGACTTTAATATTTATGAGGGGGGGAGCACTGGAGTGGCCAATGAGGCAGCTGGGGTCGGACCCAGCGTGCGAGGCTGGGGTGTATATATAGCATATGGGGCACATGCCTCCTTGGGGTGTCCATCTCAAGGCACGGTGGCCCGCTCACCCTCCTGCCCTAGGAATAGCATGCCTGGGCCCCAAGGCTGCTGGGGTTCCCCCTGACCCCCAAGCCTATCCCACAGAGGAGGACACCACGTGCTCAAGGGGAAACTTTCTTCCTTGTCAATGGACGGATCAGCCAAGCAGTTCCTTGTGCCCTGGATTATTTGAGCTTCATCCTGCTGGAAGAGAAAAGCCGGAGCTCGGGAATGGTCATCGGCTTAGGGGTAAGGTGGCTCCTTGGGATGGGTTAGAGATGCACCTGGATGTTGCTGTGAGGTTTGTGGCCGCTGAAATGCTAGCGTGACAGGTAGGGAGATGGACAGCGAGTTTAGCAGTATTATCTGTGCTAGAAGACAGCCCTTTGCATAATCTACAAGCTCTCTCAGGAAGAGATGCTTGACCCTTCCACTCGCACTTGATGTAACATTTAATGCATGCACATGTGCACATCCTTCACTTTGGACTTATCAGTGACATGGAGGATTTCTGATTGGAAAAAAGAAAAGGAACCTCCATTTAGATGGCCTGAAAATGGGTCCTAGACATAGCCTAATCCCTGCTTTGCATGACCAGGGAATCTTCACAAATTGTTGCACCACTGGTCCAGAGTGCAAGGAAAAGGGCAAACAAGGAGAGCACAGAGCGGGGAGCATTACTTTCCTTCAGGAGTGTAAGTGTTACTGGCGTTTTGCTGAGCTCTTGAGGAAGGACTGGAACAAGTGTAGGTCAAATGAGATTCTTGCCTTAGATAAATTTAGGAAGATGGCAATTTAGAGTTCATCCAAAGGAAAGAGCAGAAGAGCCTCTCAGAGCAGAAGTCACCTGCATGAAGGAAGAGTTCTTGAGGACTAACACATCAAAGGAGTGGGTTAAGGAGTCTGGGTTGGATACTGAAACTCATCTTCATGCAAATGACCCAGTGTGTCCTGCCAACATCCTCATGCGACTGAAAACAAGAGAGAGGCCCCCACACAAGACTCCTGCCTCTTGTTCTGGGATACACCTTGAATTTGCTTGCAAGGAAGCTGAGATGGGGCCTCTGGTGGTGATGGTAAAACAGATCCTGTGCCCTCTATGGACCACGATGGACTGGTGAGCGGTTCCTGGGCTGTTCCCATGCCATGTTGCCATCCCCATCTTCCCAAGGAGAAAGAGAGTTTCTGCACCCTCCCCTCCCCCAGGATACGACTGACATCGTCAGTCCCCGGAGGCTGGGAGGAAGGCTAGGGCAGGAGACAATTTTTTGTCACCTTCCCTGCCCCGCGCTGGAGCGATGAGGCCAGGGGAGAGCAGAGCTGCTTTGCGATTTCATGCCAGGGTAGCTCACCTGCTGCATGTGGACTGCACCTCCAGTGGTCTCCAGCCAGATTAGGCAGCACCCAAGTTTGCAGAGCAAAAGAGTATCAGGCCTGTTCTTTTCAGAGCAGCGTGCTGGGATAACAGGGAGACAGAAGAGCAGTGAAGCTAGTCCAAGAAATCAAATGCATTCCCCAGTCCCTAGGAGCAGGGGGAAGAACATTTAAAAAGAGCCAGAAGTTGCACACACGAGTGTGGAGCTGCACACATGAACGTGATCACGGATGTCCACACAGTAACTCATCACCGCGCCCCCAGCCCAGGGGCTGAACGTGCCGCGCTGCAGAGCGTTACAGGTACCGATCAGGGCTGGTCTGTGGCATGCGCCCAGCCCCAGAGCCGACATTCCCTCCTCCTCCCAGCCTGGCTACAGCCTCTTTCATTGGAGTTCGTGATCGCAGCCGGAACGGCTGCCCTACTCCACTGTCAGGAGCCATGGTGGCTCAGAGCAATGCTCAGGGGCTGGCTGTTGTGAACAGGAGCTTCGCGGCTCCACGCGCTGCCTGGCATGACGCACGCACCGCCAGCATGCAAAGAAACACGGCTGCAGCAACAAGCCTCAGGCTGGCCCTGCTGAGCTGCAGGAGAGGGGCTACCCCAGCTCGCAGGCTGGGCACAGGCTGCCCTGTTTAAGTGCTGTTCACAGACAGACATGCTGCTCCTGAGAGCAGAGCCCCTGGAGGGGAGGGACCGCTCTCCCCTCCGCAGAGCAGGAGAAAAGAGATCCTGGGTCTGTGGGAACGTCATAAAAGCAGAGGGGAGAACAAGGATCGAGGGAAATGAAAGCTAGAGGGCAAAAGAGAAAGTTCAGTAAGACGCAGGAATCACAGTTGCAATATACAGCTAGAGCAGATGTGGCTAATTTGGGAACTCAACATATGTGCTTCTGCGTTGGTCATGTCTCTGGGTACCTGACTTGTTGCCTCTGAACCTGATCACAGAGAGAGCAAGTTAAACGCAAAGCCAAACTCAATCTTGCTCTAAGGGCAGTATGTTTTATTGCAAGTTCAAAGCCTTAAGGGGATATCGCTTTGGATCTGACTACAAGCCACATTTCCATTAGCCCTTACCTAATGCAGTTCCTTCCGTCATCTCAGTCTAAGGGTTTCACAAGAATAACTTTTAGTTTAGTCTTTGAAGGGTTTACTTATACTATTACACATAGTTGAAAGGATTTGCATTCTAGAAAAATACCTAGAAAGTCCAGATAATTTTTTAGTGAAATCTGAGTATTGCCATGCAGGTGAGTTTGTGAGAGTGTGTGTGTGTGTGTGTGTGTGTGTGTGTGAATGTTGCTGTTGTGTGAATTATTGTGTGAAGACACTTGAGAGCAAATTGTGCATGTGTGTGTGTGCATGCAAATGCCTGGTTCAGGGTGAATGTATGAACATGGATGTAAATTATGGCGCATAAATGGATGTGAGATTCTCACAGAGGAGTTTCTGGCTGAGAATATTTGCACATATGTGCTGGGAAACGTGTGCTTGTGTGTGCATGTCTGTAAGCACACAGACAAACAGCCATGTATGCTTGTGTGGGGGACAGAGGGGTTGTGGAGGCATTTTTGAGTATGCTTATGGGGTTCCTTGTGTTTCTTGGGCAATGTTTCTGTAAATGCACATCAAAGGCTCTGTCTGTCACAATTTTAAAATAGGATATAGAATATTTCTTTCCTTTCACCGCCTGTCCGTATCTGCTCATTTTGCATTTCTTAGTCATATGGCTCGTTACAGGCTTATCAGGCCTGAGAGATGTAATATGTTGTACATCTCTGCTTGGCTGTCTTCCCAGGCGGGCTGCAATCTCTTTGAGCAGCAGCATTGCTCCTGCCGAAGTTTGTTCCCCTTCCCTTGCTCCACCCCGATCCTTCCCCTGCTCGGGGGACGATGTGCCTCCGACAAGGCCCTACCTTTCCCAGACCTGCTCCTGGTGCACTGCAGGCATCTGTCTGGGCCTGGGCCCTCAGCGTGTCAGAGCTGAGCTGCAGAGGCAGCAGGAGGGGGAGGGAAGGGAGCTGGAGAGGCAGCTTTCCCGGCCAGCAGTGCAACGTCCCGCAGGGAGCGGGGAGCCAGCTTCCATTTGGACACATCAAGCCAAGCAGCTGTGTTGGGTTCCATATGTCCAGGGTGCCAGAATCCATGACATACGGGCTCATTTAATATACAATCAGCCCCCCCTTTCTCTCGCCCCCGCAGTCTGTCTTTCTCCTTCACTCATCCACCACCTGTCATCCCTCCAGAGAGCCAGGAGAAGCAGCTTCCACCAACTCCTACAGCCGCCCCGTGGGCTCCCTCCCCAGACCGTCCCACGCAGGCACCAGCACCAGGGCAGACAAGGCTGCGCTGCCCCTGTCCTGGCCCAGGCTGCCTGGCCGGCTCGCACCAACGATTCAGGGACAAGGGAAGCAAACAGATGTGCTTTCTAACCATGTCCTCATGTAGCCTTTCCGTTCTTGTCTTGCATTGGGAGGCAGATGGTACTGAGTGCCCCTGTGCTTCTGTTTTCTAGAGCATGTTGGAAGAGTTCACCTCTGACATCTGAAGACTTCAAAACTGGGTCCTGCAATGACTGCACAGAAGAGCCTGTGATCTCTGTGCACACGCACAATATTCCCCTGCACACGCATGCACGCATAGAGGATATTTATTTATTTAATTTATATGCATCCTACTATTTTATTTACATTATTTATTTTGAAAGCTGTTGCTCACCCGACAAGTTCTCTGGGGGAAAGGGATAATTGTGAAATTCCCTCGCAGACACTTTGTGTGATGAGGAGGAGGAGGAGGAGAATAACCAGTGGTTTACTGTGAGCCGGAGACTTTCTCCTTAACTTAGAGCAGTTTTGCTTCAACAACGTGCCCAGGTCAGTCTGTCCTCCTGAAGTACCATTTCTCTGAAGTGTCCATCTGTTTGTCCACTCATCTTCTCTGAAAATGATGCTCAATTCAGAGCAAACGGAGATTGACCTGCCCCCAACACACTCAGAGTCTGAGTCTGTCTTCAGTGACTGCGGTGGTGGGGGTGGTCGTGCAGGCAGCGTGGAGGACGCCAGCGGCATTGGCTTGTGCGGTCAGTCCCGAATAGCCGAGCCGGGCGAGGCAATGAAGAAAGACCTGCAGCACCTGAGCCGGGAGGAACGTCGGCGCCGGCGGCGTGCCACAGCCAAATACCGGACAGCCCACGCTACGCGGGAACGTATCCGTGTTGAGGCCTTCAACATGGCCTTCGCGGAGCTGCGGAAGCTGCTGCCCACCCTGCCACCAGACAAGAAACTCTCCAAGATTGAGATCCTCCGCCTGGCCATCTGCTACATCTCCTACCTGAACCACGTGCTGGACGTCTGAGCTGCCCAGCCTGCATCCGTCTGTCTGTCTGCCACATCTCCTACCTGAACATGTGCTGGACATCTGAGCTATGAGCTCAAGTCCATCTGTCCATCTACTACCTGAACCACATGTTGGGCATCCAATATGCTGTGCCTGTATTCATCCATCTGTTCAAATGGACAAAGTCCCCATCTGTCTGCTACACCCTCTGTCTGAACTATGTTCTATATTTCCACACCACCAAGCCCATGTCCATCTCCTCTCCATCCTGCCTCAGTAAGGGGCTCCATGTTTGGTCCATCAGCCCCACATCTCTCTCCGTCCTGCTGGATCCGCTGCCTGAAACCTGTGTTGATCATGTATGCTACCCGCTTTTTTCCATCTTTCCACTGCAAGTTCTGCTGATAGCACCTTCAGGATCTGAGCCCACATCCATCAGTCTGTCTGCCACATCTGCTACCTGATCCACAGTATGAGCCACTGAGTACAAATCTGTCTGTGTTACTTCTTTTATCTGAGCCACAAACTGGATCTGTGAAACGCTGCAGCACCAAGCAGCACCACTGGATGCTCATGCATCCACTCGTCTGCACCTTCTGCCACCAGCCACTCTACCAGCATGGCCAGTCTTGGCATTTTGTCTGCTTCTGTTCTGCCCCAGCATCATGTGCTAGGCACTTCAACACCCACATTGGGATCATCCTGCCACCCTAGACCTCTCTCCACAGGGGTAGCAAAGCCCAGGAGCATCCTTGAGCACAGACCAAGTTATCTGGGTTTTCCCTGGCTTTTCTTGCACCAAAAGGAAGCACAAAGTGTGATGCAGAAAAGGCAGAGTTACAGACTCAAGGCAGGACCTGGCCACACTTTCCAAGGATGATGAAGCAGCAAGATCCTCCTAGGACAGAGCAGAGAGAAGGGCACTTGCTTGCTTTCCCATCTGGAAGGTGCCAGCCACATCCTCCCTGGAGCAATGCTGGCCCCACTGCCACACAAGGGAGGCATCTGGCTGGCTGTAGCTGCAGTGGGCCCTGGGGTCTGGCCAAACCGCACCATTGCATGTCCATCTCCCAAAATCTCCTGCTTCAGGAATGTCGGGTGGGAGTCTGCTCCCGCAAAGCCGTGTGTTCAAGGCTTCGCTGCCTGCCTCTCCTTTGCACTAGTGCAAAACAAGTGTGAAACCCCACTGGCCTGACCCTTTACATGCTCCCTTTGCGTCCAGAGGTGTGACCATTGCAGGGCACTAGAACTGACTGCTGCCGCTCTTCATCCCTTCCTGCTCTTCCTCTGTCTCCCCAGTTCAGTGCTCCTATTTAGAAAAGTCAGACTGGGATCACAAGCGTTACTCACACCCCAGCACAGGGGGATGTCATTGACTAGCTCTCCCAGCACCCTGGCCATGTCCCTCTGCAGCACAGCTGGGACTGCTGGGGCTCATATGCAAAGAGGCTTCACCCCGGGACACCAGGGTGCTGCAGGCCCTTCCGTTTGCACCAGTACAGCACTGGTGCAACGTGACCTTCCACAGTGCACGTTCTGCTGCGGTAAACTGCACTTTACCTGCTGCTCACGGATATAATGGCAATGGGGTTGAAAAGGGAAGGAACCAGGGGAGTCCCACAGCCAGCCCCTTGCCCAGGTCCCAGCACTGGGAGTTCTCCCCGCCAGGCTCTGTAACACAAACCGTCACTTTGGGAGAAGGAGGGAAGTGAGAAGGAAAAGCAGATCCAAGCAGCCTCTTCTCCAGGAAGGGCCCGCTGAGACTGGTGGAAGCTCGTTACAAGAGTGAATGTTTTGCCTTGTGGTTTTTTTTTCCTTTTTTTTTTTTTTAAGAGTTAATTTTGCACTGGCAGTGGCAAGAGCACAAGCAGAGCCCAGGGTGGGGAACCAGGACTGCGCAGAAACCATTTAGCATCGTGCTAAATGCCGATGCTCTGGGCCAGGAGCAGAGTTGCAGCCTGGTCTGTCAGGAACTGAATGGGGCTGCTGCTCTTTGAACCTAGCAGCAAGACAGGCAGCGCTCAACCCAGGATCTGGGGGAGATGGGCCTCAGCGGGCCAGAGGCGAAATGTTTGAGATAAGAGGGCCAGTGCCACATCCTGGGAGCACCAGCAAACCTCCAGGGCTGGATGGCCAAGCGGGGACTCTTTCTTTGCTTTTCCTTGTCCCTCTCCCTTTTGTTGACTAGGCTTTCGACTTGTTCCCAGCAGCACCTACCCTTCTCTTGCTGCCCACTTGGCCCTCGCAGGGCCCAGTGCTCTGCATTTTGCTCTCTCAAGGCATCCGTTGCTGCCCTCGCCGTGTGTCTGAGCCTTGCCAGACCCAGCCGGGGTTCTCAGGACCCGCCAGACCTCCTGGCTCTATCCCTCTCCCATCTCTGCCACCAGCTCACATGGTTTCCTTGCTCCGTACCTCACTTTCCCCTTCTCCATAAAAGCAGGGAGAATGATCACTACCTCTGTCTTGCAAAGATTTGCCAGTGAAGGTGGGATCCCAGAGAGCCAGAGCAGCAGACCCCCAGCATGGGAGGACAGCCGGCTTCCCCATTACCGACCGCTCAGCCGAGCAGGGCAGGGGCAGAGCAGAAAAGAGCAGGGCAACCCACCCTTTCCCTCTCACTCACAAACCACGTCTCTGTGCCACGAGGATATTTATTGAATTAATTTATTGATAAATGTTATTATTTATTTGCTGTGTTGTGCACTTTTTCAGAAGGAAAATTAGAAAACAAAAATGACCATGGCAGAAAACAAACCATTCCACCCTTGTACATGATGTGACCCAGTGCATGTTTGTCTTGGCTGTTCAGACTGTGCAAGGATTTATTATGTACGAGTTTACAAGGAAGTTGGGGAGGGAGAAACGAATTAAACTGCCAGTAAAAGAGAGATCTTGAAGCTGGAATGCCCTGCTTCCCTTTTTCTTTCTTTTTAAGCTTTCTTTTAACCCTCTCTTCCTTGTGCTGTTTGGTGGTGATGGCAGCTGCAGTAATTGATGGCTGCGGCCATGCCTGCGAAGGCAGAAGGTGGGGGGGGAAGCCATCAGCTTCTCCATTCTGCAGCATCAAAACCGAAGAATGGAGAGTCATGCTCTTGGTGCACAGTGGGCTGGTCCAGCCAGGGAAGGGTCCCACCACTGCTGACCATGCTTAGGCTTGCTCCAAGCCCAGGTATACACTCAGCTGCAGAGCATCCTTGGCTTTGCCCTGCCTCTGAGGTGTCCCCGAGCAGGCAGGGGAGCACCCAGGTCATCCAGGGCCCCATCACGCACCCTCATCTGATTGGAGGTGGCTTCAGAGAGGCTTCTACTGTCCTCAGACACATACCCTGGCTGCCTCATCCCTTGGCCTCCAGAGGCACGTGAGCCAGGGCACAGAGCCTGGTCCTGGGCAGTCGCAGGGGACAGGAAGGCTTAGACTGAATATCCTTCTCTGGATTGTTGCTTTACAGCCAGGCCAGAAAGTTTTCTTTTAGCTCAGCACCTTCAGTATTCCCAGACCCTGTCCTGTGCACAGCAACCGCTGTCTGAGCCCAGCTTGGTGCGTTGGGATAAGCGGGCCATGAACCATCCAAGTCTATCTGGTGACAGCAGAGGGACAAGGTCTGCTGTGTGCATCCAAACACACCCAATAAATCTGCCTTTTCTTTCCTACGTAGCCTTGGGAAATCAGTGCAGCCTCAGCTCTGAAGTCACCCATGCCTTGACCATGCACCTCTCCCTTGTGCCTGGCAGAGCCCTGGCCCCTTGCTGCCCTTCCCCACGTCCCCACATACCCAGGTCCCCTGCCCATCCCACTTTGCCCTGCAAGCCCCCAGTGCGCTACCCACTTCCCCATCCCAACCCATGCTGCACGGCGAAGCGAGTTTGCGGCTCTTCTCCTTTGTCTGTGCCGGTCTCACGCGTCCCTGGGGGCAGGTTGCAGCTGTTTGCTGACTTGCTCCAAATTTCTTCATATAATCAATTGGCCTCGGCTGCCGCTCGGCTCAGCAGAGATGTGTCAAAGGAGAAATAATAGAAGTCCACCCCTCTGGTTGAGGGAGTGGAGTGGGGGAAGGTAGCCGGGAGATCGGCCCTTTCTGCAAAGTCCCTGCACGGGGCTGAAGCAAAGGCGATGTGAAAGGTCAGGAGAGGCAGCGGCAATATCTGATAGCGGCTGGTAGAGAACAAGAGTGAATGAGACCCCGTGGGTGCTGGACGGTCCCTGAGCCCCAGTTTGGCCAGGGAACAGCGTGCCCTTTGGCAAAGGCAGGGGGGAAAACCCAGCTGTTTTTGATTCATTTTTGGCATCTGTCTGGCACCGAGAGGCTGTGCTGGCCGGGGCCCTGAGGGGCCATGGCAGCACGAAGGAGCCCCAGGCTGGGCGCAGGGGGCACGTGGGGAGGGTGAAGGGCGAGCAAGGGCTCCCGGCTCAGCCCTGGACTCTGCTCGTGCTCCAGGGCAGCCGGGAGGCCCAGGGGAATTCTCCCTGGTGCTGACCCCTGGGACGCATCACGCCACTCCCCACCTGCATCCAAACCCCAGTCCGGGTATCAACCCATCAGGTGCCTTCAGCGGGGGCCAAGCCTGCAGCCAGCCTCCCAGACATGCATCCAGGGCCTGCTGGCTTCAGCAGGGCCGCGGTATGTGCAGGGCGGACATCTCCATCCTGCCCGCGGGCCACGCACACTCCAGGAGGCAGCACAGCCACGTTAATCAGGTTAGAGGCGTGTGAGCTCTGCTCTGCCGCCGCTCCCAAACCTCTGCGGGGCCCATAGCTGCCGCCTGCCAGCCCCGGCCCTGACATATGGTCCGCATTGTGCCTCTCACAATGGAAACACTTCATGCTAATTTAAACGCTGGTTCTGGCCTTGCTGTCGTCTCCAACAGACTGGGTCCCTTGCCTGCTCTTTGTGCTTGCGGGCAGGCGGGGTGACAGGCAGCTCCGCTTCTCCTTTACATCCCTGAACATTTTCCTAGACGCTTTCTCTGTTCCCACAGCTAACTTCCTCCTCTCTCTCCTCCCCTATGCACATCTCCAT